CTATAGTGAGTTATCAGTTATGTAATCACCTGTAGGCTATAACTTGTGGTATGTTTATTGTGTATGGGGAAAACACATCGTTATTCAGTTAGAAGCTTTATTAGTTTCTCAGTTTCTAAATTGAGTTCTCCACAAACATAATAAGGCTAGTTTTAGATCCTGTATATGACACATAGTTAGGCTATAGTTTGGCAGAGAAAGGTTTAAGGCTTAACAAATAATTGAAAATACCCTTTTTATATCGAAAAGCATATTCAGATGACATGTTGTCATTTTTTAAAGTGTGTAGTGTTATAGATATTTGTACTTTCCTGTGTTATTCATCTCTGTCTGTTTTCCACTGTTCTCCTCTGACAACATTCAGCTATTACAATTTCAAAGGTCCTTCATCCCAACAGCCATAAGACTTTTTAACAAACATGTAAAATCAATGTAAGTATCATTCCTGTGTACTTACTCTGTTACTTTACTTTAAAACTGCTCACTTGGCACAAACACAGACTGTAATCTGAACATCTCAACCTCCTATATATATATATATATATATATATATCTCATGTGCAATATTCACATTAAATCTTCAGGTGTGTTGTGTAATACTTTTTGAATTGTTACATCCAATGTATATTTCCACTTCCCATGTGCAATATCACTGTGAATTTCCGGTATCATGTTCACTCAATAGGGAGATTTGTTTAAATCATCCAGAAAAACCATGATAATTATATGTATTGTTCACACAGTTTTTCTTGTTATGACCATTTTGATCTAAAGTTTTTGGTGCTCATACATTTTTAATTTGTAGAATGATATATCTGTGACAAATATTCAGAACAAATGACATCACTCAGAGGAGCCTGAAGAAAACTGTACCCATTAAACACTATTATAGAAACCCTGACAGTGAAAGATCTACATGTACACTCACACCCTGTGTTTCTGTCATTTCCTGTATCAGCTTCCTGAGCTTGCATTGTAGTATTCCACTGGGCAACTATCTATCTATATAATTACCTATACATTCTTGTTATGTGTATTGAGTGTGTGTGTGTGTGCAGGTGTCTCTCTCTCTCTCTCTCTCCCTTGCTCTCTCCTTCCTTTGTCCTGCAGGTGAGAAGTGGAAGATTGGCTGCCAGCTCCAGAAGATCTGTGGATGGCTCACACTTCAGCCCAGTAGCCAATCAGAGACAGAGGGCACCATTTTAAAAGCCTTTCTTTTGCTTTGTTCTCGCTCTGTTGCTTTCTATCGAGCAAGGTTTGTGGTGGGGAGGTTGAACTGAGGTAAGGCTGGGGTACCCTATACATTCTCACACGTAGGAAGAAATTGTTATGTACACTAGGTTATGGGTTGTTGCCACTGATGTACTTTTATTAGTTTCAGACACTTTTTTTAGATAAGATAGTCAGGCCTTTTGTGTTATTTTACTTTCTTACAGATAGAGTTGAGCTAGGCCCTATTTTGTTGTACTTTGTTTATTTTGTTTGGCACAACCCCCACAGTTCCTCCTTCCCCCACATGTTTCAAACCTACATTTGTTGTTTACCATCAGTTAAATTGTAAATAAACCTTTTTTCTTTGACTGCCTCACGTCCACGCTGAGTTCTTTCTTTGTTAATTGTCAGTGTTATTGTTTCTGCAAACAGGGAAACGTAACAATTCTCATCAGTTACATTCTATATCAGTTACATTCTATATCAGTCACTTTCTACATCAGTTACATTCTACATCAGTCACACACTCACACACTCACACACACACACACACACACAGCTATCTAATGATCTAATACTTATTTTGGACTCATTACAGCCACAGTGTTTTTCTAACATGTACGTTCGGTCACCTCCATATCACATTAACTGACGAGACAGAGTCAAAAACTCGATGCTGAGGGGTAGAGCAGTCGTCCTCCAACCAGAAGGTCGGAAGTTCAATCCCCAGTCTTCCCATCTGCATGCCAAAGTGTCCTTGGGCAAGATACTGAACCCCAAACTGTCCAATAGAACAACAAAAATTGCTAGCTATAGAAGCACTGTATGTATGAACGTGTGTGTGAATAGGTGAATGGCAAACTGTAGTGTAAAGCGCTTTGAGTGGTCATCAAGACTAGAAAAGCGCTATATAATTACAACCATTTACCATTTACGCACACACACACAGTAAAGATAGAACAAAAGAATTGAATACATAAGGTACAGAGTGGTCATACGTCACTGTCAGGTCATGGTTAAAATCATAAAGATAAGAAGAACTTTATTACACCCCCCCCCCCACACACACACAAACAAGCACAAGCTGGATGCGGGTGATTAGCGTGACCGTAGCAGAGCGGTTTGACTAACTGAATAAAGTCATGCATTGAGCCACCATAAACATACAAAGACTCCTCTGCTGTCAGGGTTATCAGATGATCCACATAACTTGGACCGCATGAATCAGCTGATGGTTTGTCATGAGGCTGATATATGGCAGTCAGCGGGTTTAGGTTGGATTGTTCCCCTGCACATGCTAAATATTTACAATTTATTTAGACAGCACATGCATTTGGTATGTATAAG